TTGTCCAAGAGCAGTGAGCTGTAGTCTCAGGGCTGGCTCCTAATACCCTGAGTACTCAGCCTGGATTTTTTCTTCTTTAGCCTTGGATGAGCCCAACATATGTATGAAATTAGCTAAATACCAACTAGGTTCAGAACTTCCATGTGACTGAATTTCTTTAGAGTCTCAGATTATTACAATAGGATGTGACGGGATAAATAAATGAGACAGTTTTTTTCTTGCAAAGATTTCACTACAGCTGCTTTCCACAGTGCTTTGGCAAATAGACCAGTGTTAGTACAGAAATTACAGTAAAATTGTTAAGGTATGTGTAATGATAATCACCTAACTAAAAATGAAAATTCTAAAGAAACCACTACTTCACATAGCATTTTGCCGAAATCTGAAGACGCACATGTAAAGTTATACTCTGGTTTTCCTAGACATGAACTCAGGATAACACTAAACATTAAGCGGATCTATGTAGGTACTTTGAATGAAATTAAAAGACAAATTAGGCTCCTCATTCAGCTCAATCTTACAAATCTGCTGCTATAATTTATACGTTGTACAACTATGAGAGAGCATCATCCATTCGTTTATTCATTCAATGGGTAGTAGTCAGGCTCCCTCTAAGCACCAGGCACAGTGCTACACATTAAGGTTTTTCAGGCAAATAGGGCAAAGAGCCTGCTATCAGGGAATTTGTAATAAAATAAATAAAACAAGTAGAGAGTTAATAATGACCGGGAGAGATCTAAGAAGGGTATTGTGAAGAGAGCTAATGGGGGGAGCTACTTTAGATCAAACAGACAGAATGGCTACAAAGAGGCAAATGAGACAAGAAAGACAATTAAGGGTCTATTGTAACAGACCAGGTGGAAGATCATGGTGATTTAGGCTAGTGCCATGGCTCTCAATCCAGGGTAATTTTGTATATCAGAGGGCATTTATTTGACAATGTCTGCAGACATTTTTGGTTGTCACACCTTGGGATGAGGATACTGCTGACATCTAGTGGAGAGAGTCCTGGGAAGTTGCTAAAAGTCCTGCAATGAACAGGACAACAGCCCCCAGAAAAAAAATAATATTCTAACCCAAGATATCAAAAGTTTTGAGGCTGAGAAGCCCTAGGCTAGTATGATATTAGAGGAATGTAGAAAACTCAACTAAAGACATGCTCTGGAGATAAAGCCATTAGTGTATAAAAATAAACTGATATGGGATTAGGTGGAGAAGTAAGAAAAAAAATGAAGGGTGACATCCTGATTTTCCAGTTTTAATGGCTGGATGGAAGGTGGTATTCATATTGAAATGAGAAAATTTGGGAGAGGATTCAGTGTGAGGCAATGACATGGCACAGAATCAAAGATGTGAGATGTTGACTCACTTAGAAACGAAAATTAAAATTGCCTGCATGAACCTGGAGGTCTGCGCAAAAGACAACATTTGAGAATCTTTGGCTTAAAGGTAGTATTTAACATCACAGAAATATGTGATATCACCTAGTGAAAAAAGCATAAAGAAGTGGGCAAGAACTCAGGATTTTGACCCTAAATCAGCCACAAAGTCCCTGCAGGCTCTAAAAGCTACTCGAACTTCTGATTTTGGTGCCCTGAGTAACATTTTAAGTATACTCAAGTATGCTCACAACATTCTGAAAAGACTGTACAACATTTGCATTCCTCAGGTTACTCTAAGCTATTTTTCTTTGTATCAAGTTATCTTCTAAAAATTAAGTAATTTAAAATGGATTAGTATTAAAGTAATGCCACCAGTTCTCACAGGAAGCACAGTGCTACATGCCATTGTACTGTTTTATTATTAACCACGGTGTATCAAATTTCAGCTTAACATTTGGGGAATGGGAAAAAGACAGCATGCATTCAATTAGACATGTTTATTCTTAAGAGGGCACTATGAGAAACTGTGAATCAAGAGTGATTACCAGAGTCATTTTGGGCAAAAAAATAACTGGATGAATATATGTACAAAATGCAGTCCTTCTACAAAGCACAAAACAAATTAACAGCAGCTGCTGATCACTCATGAGTAACTCAACACCATGAGCCTGTGTACATGAGCAGTGGAGAGAAGCATTTTAACAAGGAAATAAATTTCAGTTTTAAGCCTTACAGAATTTTACAGATGATACAGAAATGTAACTACAATGTGCCATTTAGTTTTCAAGAAACTTGCTTTAAGAAATCTCTCTAATATTTCTAATTGTCAGAATGAACTGTTTCCTTATAAACCAGAGGTAATACAAGTAAAAAGTAGCAAAACTCTTGAAATATTATCAGCCCAATTATGATTACCATATAATTAATTGGACCACTATTGTTGACTTCTTGCCCAAAAAACAAAATATTTCAGTCTTTGCAATCTGAGATAAACTATTACCAGAAATGTATGCATGGATTCCTTTAACCGGAAAAATAATGACCACAAATAAACTAATATATACTGAGTAACAAGGACCTTGGGAAATACTTCGTATGCAATAGCTCATATAATCCTCCAACGACCCTGTATTGTTATTATTCTCGTTATACAGATGAAGATATCAAGTCATAGAGAGTTTATTAGTTAGTGCAGAGTAGCTTACGCTGCAGTAATAAACATCTCAAAATTGTAGTGGATTAAAACATAACATTGAGCTGGGATGATTTGTTACCAGTGTGTCTCTGTTCTAGAAACATTCAGAGCAATGCCCTTACAAAAAATTACTCAGGGATTGAGGCTGCTTGCATCTTAACCCCTAGAACTTGTGGCTTTCAGAATTACTCTGGCAGGGAAAGACAGTAGTCAATGGCCATGCAGGATCTTTTTACTGTCTTCCTTTTCTCCTGGCCGTGGTGCAATTCCACTCATATTTTATTGGCCAAAAATGGCCACATGGTTCCAACTAATTGAAAAGGTAGATTCCAACTAATTGAAAAGATACATTGCAAGTAATTGAAAAGGTACAGGTTTTTGTGAGCCAGAGAAGGGAAAAATTAGATATGTCTAAGCACCAGCAATGGACTACAGACAGATACAGAAATTTAACCGAAGCTAAAAACCTAGAATTGGTAAAACCAGAATTTAAACCCAGTTTCTTCAAAAGCTGACTTAATTCTAGACCTTGGGTCTCCAAATTTCAGCCATGCAATATCTACTATGTATTGGTCTTGGATGTACCCAGAGAAAATAGATGACTAAAAATGCTTACCACAGACCTTTAGGTTTAAAAATAAATCCTCTAACAGATTTTATATTCATTCTCACTTTAGGAAATACTTACTAGTCCCTTGTAAACCACCCATTCTTTGAGTTTTGAAGCATCAACTCCTCAACAAGCCCTTTCCAAACTCTTAAATGAGGTTACACTCCTTTTGTTCTTTACTTCGATAGCACCATTTTGTAAAGCTCGTCATACTTCTTTAAAGCCTATGAGTTCCACAGGGCAGCAATCGTAACTTTCTATGTCTGCAGAGATTGGCACAATATCTCACACAATGTGGGCTCTCAAAAATATGCATAAATAAATGAAAAATTTGACACTTCTGAAGCAGACCATGCCACTACTGTTTTGCTTAATTTGGATTTGCACAGGAAGGGTCTCACTATGTTTCCCAGGCTGGTCTTGAATTTCTGACTTGAAGTCATCTTCCCTCCCCAGCCTCACCAAAGTGCTCCAGTGTAAGCCAACACACCCAGCCTTGCTGCTGCTTGATATTTTCTGGTCTTAAAAAATGCTCCCTGAATAAGATAAAATTTATTCTTCTGCAATTTCCCTCTGACAATCTTACTTTTCTTATTTCTTCACTCATAACTAACACTGAATAAGGCTACTTTCTTTTAATACAAGAGCTCTTCAAATGCCTAAAGATAACCAGCATGTGCTCCTAATTCTTTTGGTTTCCTCAACCTTTCCATGCAAAAATGCATTCTAAATCCATATCAGACACACTTTTATCTGCTTATATATTCTGTTTTGTTAACTCTCACCCCAAAGTGTCCAGAATCAAGCCTGCTACTTGAGATGTGAGCTGATTAGCTTTCCACAGTGGAGTTCTAACCTTCCTTGGAGAATAAATGGTGCATTTTCCCCACTATAGGGTCTTCAGTGAAAAGTATAGTATCTGACACCACATACAAGATACTCAGTAAGTATTTGTTGAATGAATGAATGTACGAGTGCGCTTTAGTATATATTAGATTCCTTTTGTAATTGTTTTCCACTCTAGGCTCATTTAACAACTGTAGACATATTTTTCATACAGATTACGTCAGTTCTTCAAAATCTATACTCAGTTAAACAAAAGAGAGATGTTAATACAGAACTGGCAAACATTTATATAGAACATTCCCCACAAAACTCGAAGGAAATTAAGCCAACATAATCAAATGCTAATTTCCCTAGGGAAGTGTCCTTGTCCTTCTACAGAGAAACAGTCTCCAAACCTACATTGCTAAAATAGCCTATCTTTCAGTGTTCAAACCTGACAGTTAAAAGAAATGAAGAAAAGCAGCGGCGCTCGAGGCTGTTTCTATCTCAGTGGCACGTGTAAATGGAAGCAATTTGCAAGAGATTATCTAGGGTCCAAAAAGGAAAGAAGCCACTATAATCTTGGAGTACTGAAGCTTTCTCATTCCTCTCTTCCTTCTCCTATTCTTCTTCATCCTTGTCAGAGCTAAAACAGGAGCCCCGATATTTTCCAAATATTGGAGGCGATTTTCCATTAAATGATGGGACATAGCTAGCTGGCTGTAACACCCCCTAACAGGTGCGCAGGGACGTTACCAAGGAGGCTTCCCTGACCCTCACAGCGGACAGCAGAGGCTGTCTCTGCTCGGACAAATAGTTTCGATTTGATCTGTCTAGAGAATGCAACACTTCCCAGCAGCAGAACGCAAAGTTGAGGGAGAGAAAAAGAACGTGTGTGTGCGTGTGTGTGTGTGCGTGTGTGTGTGTGTGTGTGTGTGTGTGTGTGCGCGCGCGCGCGCCCGCACCCGCGCGCGCCTATCTTGATCAGCGGGGTTGGGGCGGGCAGTAAATAAAGGGTGGGGCCAGCGAGGGCAGGAGGAAAGCAAGGATTGAGGAAATCAAGAACGTGGCTCCGCTCCCAGTTAACCTGCTGAAGCTCATCAGGGTTGCTCAGAGCCCCTGCACCAACTCACCCAGTACCCTCGCTCCTTCTTCGTTAGTCTTCTTTCCCCCTTTCCCCTCCTCTGTCTGTACCTACCCCCCACTTTTGCATCTGACCAGAGGACGAATGAGGGAGACGTTCCCGCAGATCCGGGCAGCAACTTTCCTCAGCTGGTCTCTGGGCTCCGGGAGCCGAAGCGCGCTGATCCTCCGCGGTCCGCGGCTCATGGAGGAGGAGGAGGAGGAGCGGTGATGGGCTAGTGACACACCGAGGAGCCCCGAGCGAGCTCAGCCTTGCCAGCCAGCTCTGCGTTCCCACGCGGGTTCCCTCGAGCTCGTTTCGTGGGGAGCGCGCCGCGTGGTTGGAACCAGAGAATCCGGAGAGGATGAAGCGGGGACCCGGCCCAAGTTGGATGCATCTCTCCGGCGTGCGGCAGCGGCTGTATCTCGGCATGTCATAATTAAGAAGCGAGAAAGATGGAGCTCGGCAAACTCCTTGCCCAGCCCGGGCTCTGGACCAGGGACACCAGCTGGGCACTCCTCTATTTCCTCTGCTACGTCCTCCCTCAGACCGCCCCGCAAGTACTCAGGATCGGTGAGTGAGCCCCAGGCTGCCTGCTTGGGAGACGTGGTCGCTCCCCGCGCCAAGGCGGGTGTAGCGGGGTCCCGGGCAAGGCAGCGCGCGCCAGCGCAGGGGCAGGAGCTGGGGACCGTGGAGGTCAGTGCGCACGGGAGGCTACACAAAAAACGGGGAGCCGAGTCACTGCTTTCCTCCTGGAGGGTGCCAGGCTTCCCTGGGAGGTACAGTTGGCAGGTTTTTCAATCTGGGGTCCAGGAACGCGGGCGATAGTGCGGGGATCCAGGCTCACAGAGACCGGCACCCCTACTCTGGGCAAGGGATCGCGCGCCGCTGCAGCCACTCGACTTGGGCGCAGAAATGAGCTCTCCCAGCCTCCTGGGTGGGCGTCCAGCAGTCCAGATCCGCAACCCCGGTGCCTGGCAACCAGAGCTCTGGGCACTGGCAAGTATGTACGAATCTCAAGAGCAGACTGCAGGGACCACTAGGGACCTGGGAATGTCCTAGAGGCTGTTACCCTGAGCCTCCAAGTTTTAATGCCTAAGTTGGATTCTTCCACATGGGGTCTGCCAAGTCTGAAGGGCCTGCAGACTTGACTGGGGCAGAGTCCAGCTATGACTTCTCGCTGAAGGTTCGAGGAGTGAGAAGGACGGTCAGTTAGCAACATCAGCAGACACTTAAGTTTCTTCCCACTTGCTCCCTAATCTGCCCGCCTGCCCGCCACTGAGCGAGATTCAGTTCCCAGTCCAGATAACTTCCTGGGAGATTCAGGGCTCTGATCTCAAATGGATTAAAAAAAAAAAAAAAAAAAAAAAAGCACTGGAAGGCTGAATGTGGGCAACCCAAAGATTGCAAAAGGCAAAAACAGTGGAAGGGGCGTAGACTCACGGCCATGCATGTACAGCACCCACCACCAAGGTTTGGTCTGTGGCTGCGCAGGACAATTCCTGAGCTTTGAGGGTTGACACAGCTGTTCACCTTTCAAACTAAACCCACTTACTGTTCTCTTAATCTCATTTGCCCTCCTCCATTCCCAACCCCTAGGGCTCTTAGAGACAAAGTCACTGAGGGAGCCACAGGTGAAGTCCTGACATCACATGGGTCTCTTAGCTTCTCCCATCTTCCACTTTGAACCGCAAGAGTGAAGCCCTGATCTCTGAGGACGTCTAACTCACACCCTTTCCAGGAACTAACAGAATATGCCAGGAGCAGTGCAAGGCACTGGCATAGTGACGCTTCCTGAGCAGTTGAAATTTTTCAGTTACTATCCTAACTCTGGCCTGCCATTAGTCAGCCCCTTTACAAAAATTCAGAACATAGTGTGTTTTATATTTTGATCACTGAACATGCCTATTAAAAGAAAAATAGAAATGTACTACTATTTTGAACTGCAGATCCCAAATACTAACTTTTACTTCAGATATGTTTTTTCTAGGCTATGGGTAATTTTAATGTACATTGTATTGGATAGTTTAGGGTCTTTAATAAAATAGTTTCAAAGTATTTATTTTTTAAAAAACTTTCTACTATACAGAACTAAAATATCCTTTATCTGAGATAAGTTCTACGTTTAACATCCTGGGTTTGGGGGAATGCAATCAACTCTATTCACCCTGTTTCAAAAAATATATATATTCTGAACAACACAAAGTAAGTAATAAGTGCGTGTTATAATTTCTAATACTTGTTAACTTAATTGGTGTTTTGCTTGTGTGTTTTACGTTTTGAAAGAGACAAATCTTGGAATGCTAGAAATGACTATGCTAGCCAATGTCCTTCCTCCTTGTATAGCAAACATAAGGTAGCATTTTCCTTCTTATAACCCCCACATCTAAAGAAACTCAAAGAGGAGAAGGGTAAAGGATGCTTTGAGACACATTTGTTCACGGACCTGAGTATTTAAGCTCCAAGCAATCACCATCATCCATGTAAAAGTAGTTTTCAAAGTGAAAACAACCAACATGATCCACTGACTTTAAAAATATGTGCCACAAGATAATGATATTTTATTTTTTCTAAATGGAAACCAAAATGCATAAAATAAAATGGCATGGCATGGCATGGTGTTGTTTATGTGCAATACAAATGTCTTACTCCTTCTGACTTTGAGTGACCTGTGGCTGGCATGAGCACAGTTGCCCTGTATGCACCTAAGGTTCAATGCATGCTTTTAAATGAGCAATTTAGCATTGTGGAAACCAGCTTTAGCTCAGAGGAAACCTGTTTCTCTACAGTGAGCTCCTGTGTCTGTCAAGGGCAAAATTGAATGCAAAAAGTTAACATTAAAGGGGTTGAAGACTAAGCCAAAGTTTATATGTGTGCATGAGTGTATGTAAGGAAAAAGAAAGAGTTGTATTCTTTATTAAGCCCTGACCCATCCTTCTTTCCAACAAACCACCAACCAACCAAGCAACCGACTGATGAAGTAAACAACCAACCAACCTACAAAAAGGGATTCTAGATTATTCACTTGCATGTTTTTTAGCAACTTAAAATATTCAAAGTATAGCAAAATCACTAGGCACTTAGTACTGTGTCCTCATAGAGAAAGGACACTCCAATGCTTGAATGAATTAATTACTGGTCTACTTTTCTTGTCAAAGTGTTTGCTTAAGCTTCAGCTTTGGAGAAAAGGATAAAAGCTAAGATGAAATTTACGCATACTAAATATTTGAGAGGGCACCAAGTTCACATATACACATGATTTGAGCATACATTGTGATTGTCTGTTGGAAAGTTATAATCTTATGCAACAGTTAAGAGAGAGAGGAGGTCGGTAGGGTAGTGGTGCCCTTAACATTACTACTGCATTCAAGAAGTTTCCCAGCATCTTGCATGGAAGAGTAATGTCGTTGGCTGCTGGGAATTTGAGGAGCTGCTGGGGTCATTCCTGCCTTTCTGTCTACACTAGTGTATATCAACAACCAGTTAGTTGACACATGCAATTAGTTGGTCTGTGAGGTTCACAAGCACAAATATCCTCCTTAATTGGGTGGTTGACTTAAAGCTAATGGTTAGAACAGGATCTAGGTAACCTTGGTGGATGTGTCCCACCCACCACCATTAATGAAAAAAAAAAATTCCAACTGCATAGCAATTTCTAGGGCAGATGTGTAATATTTATAATAATGAATACAGAAAGATAGAGTTAGATAACATATTTTTGTGCATTATCTCAACACACAATTATAGAAGTCATGGTAAAAACAGGATTAAGAATTGAGCAGTGGGCAGCCAGGATTTCTGAGGTATGTTTTGGTGTCAGAAAGCATAGGTCTGAGTCCCACCTCCACAATTTACTAGATACATAGATGAGTGAGTGAAGGTTATTTAGTCTTACCAGGCCATTGCTGTTACATCTGAGAAATTGAATTAAAACCACTGCAAACCTCACAATGTCATTGGTAAGAGCTCAGTGTGAAAGGACTTTGAGTAATATCTGGATACGTTTGTTGTATTATTATTGTTGTATTTTGGTTTTACTTCTATTTTTTTAATTATTTACATTTTCTTCCTAAACAGAGACTTAAGAGTTGATTTGGTGTATCTTTATTTATAAGACCTTTAATATCCTTGAACCTAAATCTCTTCATCTGTGAACTAGCAGTAATGATATCAGCCTTTCCTATTTCACAAGGGAAGATGAAATACACTAATTTCTCAAATTACCAAAAAACCACCAAATAAATATGTTACTATTATGTAGTTAAGTACATCACAGAAATAGAAATATTGTGGAGATTTATATGAATAGTGTGGAAAGTGATAGTGACAATATCATTTTTCACATGCTTTTATTTCCTTCGGAGTGGTCCAAAATTATTTTATGTCAATCATTACCTTGGCTGTAGCATCACATTTGGATATTTTAACCCAAATATCCCCAAAGTTAAGTAATGTTTTTATTTGTTCATATTTTTGCTTAAGTGTGTACAGACCCATGACTTTATTTTTAGGCACTTAATTTTTTCATCATTTTAATATTCACTTCTATTCAACAAATATTATTTGAGTTCCTACTTCCCACTGATCCCGACATACATAAAATTGCAGGATGTACAACAGTGAATAAAATGGGCATCTTCTGCCCCTCGAGGTTTGCATTCTGGCAATTACAATCTATACTGCTGAAGTTTTTCATCAGATTTTCAAGGTGGACACTTTAAAATTTTTTTTCAAATATTATTCTTGAAGAGTTTTCAGTTAATGTTCTGCCACTGATTTATTATATTAATTGCATAGTCAACTTGGAATAGATTCTGGCATCCAAATGCATAGAGTACAGAGACTGGGTTCATGCTGCCAAACCTGGAACAGAAACTCAGAGAGTTGCCTGTGTTTAGGAAGACCTCTTTGGCTAGAGGTAGAGTCACTCTGAGAGAAGCACCTGTGTCTCCAAAATCATGTTGGTCCTAACATGAACTTGAAGACTCCAATGGGCACCAGAAAAATCTAAAGAGAAGTTATCTGATAGTGTGATATAAAAGGAAGCACCTAACTAATGTTAACGTGTTTCTGCAGATGAGCAGATCTTTTCCCTTAACAATTTTAGCTGTCATTCATTTTTTTATTTAATATTGATTTTATGGGCATAATGTTAACATTCTACAGACCTCAACTGTAACTACTTTTCTTGTAAGGCTTGTGATCTCTGGTTTTCATTGAGATCGTGACTTTGCATAAGTTCAGTTGTTACTGGTAGAAATACCAGAAATTGGAACTAGCTATTCTGGTCTCAGGTTTTGAGCTCCTTGCATTAAATTATGCCATATTGTGTACAGACTTATGTATGCTTAAGTATGCACAGTGTAACTGTGTATTCAAACAATGAATAACACTTACTTTATTAATTTAAGTAATTTCGTTGCCCCGAATAAGAGCAAGAGTTTGTTTCCCCTTTATTGGATTTCATTTTAGCATACGCTATATTGGTCCTAACATGAACTTGAAAACTCCAATGGGCACTGGAAAAGTCTAGAGAGGAAGTATCTGATAGTGTTACATAAAAGGGAGTGCCT